TTTTTTGACCTGACTAAGTTATATGACTGCCCTTGATTAACGATAATAAAAATTAGTAAGATTAAACATCACGTGAATATAATGTTGAACATCAGGTAGTAGGAATGCAATTGAGAGGTGGAGATTATTGTGCTGTGGAATGAATATTAAATACAGTCAATATTCAAAAATCGTAACATCATATCATAATAAACTTCAATGGGTGTAGTCCCTGTCTGAAACTGAGTGACACACACCCTACGACCTGTATTAACATTGCATATTGCACAAACACAATGCCTAAATGTATTTACAAACACAACTGATCATCCATTATTTTTCTTATAGTGTTTCAGTATTAAACAGGCAGCGGTGTGGCTCAATACAAAGCTCACTTACCCGGTTGTTGTGTTATTTCACCGTCTGGCGTTGAAGGAGGACGATCCCTTCAACAGACCGCTCTCTCCGTCCAACCATCATTTTGATCACAATCCTGGATTTCTGCTCACTTTCTATGAACAGTCCTCAAACAGCGAGGTATTCCGGTAGAACAGAGGAGCAGATTTATTCTACACAGCCGTTTTCATCCGACTTGACGTCAATCTCTCACCTGCCTGCGATGTGCGCAGCGTCAGTGTGATTGTGGGACTGCCTTCATTTCCACTGATGTGATTAGCAACTGTGACACCCAGTTTCGTTCTTCTGCTCCTGAAATTGTGTTTTAGATGGGAAGTTTTCCCGTATAGTGTTTGCCTAAGAGACGATGCCATGTCTAAAATCAGTCAGATGTTTATTATGTTTAGGATTTTTAATTAATTAAAATAGGCTCTATTATAGTTTGATATAGTTTATATGAACTTCAAGGTGGGGTAAGATACGTATTTTAATATTTGATTCTATTTATATATATATTTACATACATTTTCTGATGAGAAATTATAGCTAACCCATTTTTGACCGGCGAACTCGTGCAACATGATCCAACACTAGTGATGCGACATCTACTATACTATAGTATAGGCTATACATATGAATCTAATCTGTATTTTCTGCCACAAAACTGTGTCAATCAGAGTAACTGACAGCATCAAACTTCGTATACATTTACAATAAATACAACTATAGAGCAAGAACACACAATCATTTCCATAACCAAGTCGAAAACAGCAGCTTTAAATATAAGAAGAGCTAAGCAAGCCGTTCTAGGACTCAAATCGGTGTCATTTTTTATTTGTTCATTTTCATGAACCACCTAAATTGATTCACTGGAATGAATCATACATCCCAGCGCTACATGAAAGAGAGAACCGAGTAGGAGGAACCGATTCACCAAGATGAATAAGAATTTCCAGAGCGAAGACCGAGTAAGACGAATCGATTCACCGGAAGGAACATATGAATCGAAGTCAAAGGCCTTGAGTCCTAAACAAACGATTTTGGCGCAAAAATTCACATTTTACTAGTTGAAGCTAGCAAAGACTGACGCCAACATGGAAAGCAAATGTGACATTTCTTCATCCTCGAAAACATTCAACAAAATCTAACAAGGTAAAAGAAAATCTTACCTACACTACATTAAATATGGGTTCAATTGCAACGAGGATAATATATATTGAGGCTTGGTCGCGCGTTAACTCCCAAATAACGCCACAACGAAAATGTAACCGAATGATACTTAAAAGTCGAACAAAACTCATTTTGTAAAGGAATTTTACCTTGAACCTACTTTAGATTAAAAAATGACAAAGATAAAATGGTCTGATATGTTTAAATGTAAATGAGCTAATATGCATCATTGGCAAAAAAATAAAATATATGCCTGTAATACAAACAGGATGAAAGATACAGGCTATTAAGTGAAAATATATTTCATTGCTTTGTTCTATGTAGGCTAAAGTTTATTTAAACAGTGTACTTGCACTTAGAACATGTAGCATTGTACAACTGACTTCATTCAGGACTCCATATAGCTGTTAAACTGCATGTATCCAAGTGGTATTTATAATGCTTATTTAAGAATCTGTTAATGGCTTTTTATAAGCCAGGGTTTAGATGTGCATATCATAGTAATCTTTACACAGCTACACGCACACACAGACACACACTGGCACATATGCTATGGTTACAGTATTGTGTGTGCGTCTGTATGAGACAAGATGGCTTTCTAGCCATCAGGGCATTTTACATTCATGGTGTGCTCAACATGAAGTGCTATTTTGCTTTGAAAACACTTTCAAGGTATAAACCTGCACTCTCCTAAATGGCCTTGGTGATATTGTATGCATACCATCTAATATGAGTAATGCAGGGCTTACATAGACAATAAGGCTAATGCAACCAAAAAGAAAAGCAGTCACAAGCCATGCAATCAGATTATATAGCCTATGGTAATGCCAAATAAATAGTTGCCTTTGATAATGAATGCCGATTTTGTTACAAATTGGTGTATTGGTTAAATATGTCAAGGCTATTATCATTGCTTCTCTAGTTTGAGTCTTAACTGAAGTTACAGTTTTATCTGAATTGGTCAATTTTTTACTGTAATTTTGAATGTGATAAAAATCACTATTCTCTGAGAAAAACTTTGAATTGCTAGCACAAGTTGTTGATTAACTTCAAATTTAGAAATATTAAATGAGTTTTATTGTTCTGAAGTGAAGTTCAAAAATGCTATCAGATTTCATAATTACCCCTAATAAAACTACTATATTATGAGAATGTTTCTGTACATTGAGCTGTCAATTTCTTTATTTTTTTATTCTGCATAAAAGAAAAAAAAAAAAAAGTCATACAGCTTTGGAACAAAACGAAGGTGAGTGTCACAAACACGGTGTGTGGAAACAGGCAGGACGACGAAGAATTCCAATAATCACTTTAATAATAATCCACAATAGGTAATCCAGACAGGTCATGTCAGTCAGACAGACACACACACACACACACACACACAGAGAACAGGCTTGACTTAAAGTACAGACACAAATGGGGTTTGAAAATCGTGCAGTGTGAACTCGGCATAAGCACATGGGGAATGAAAACACAACAAGACAGTCCACGGGTGTGACAGATCGTGGATCTGAGGTGGAGCCGGAGGGAAGGAGGAGCCTGACAGAGCCTGAGGGACGGAGGGGTGAGGCGGAGCCAGAGGAGTGGAGTCCCGAGGCGGCGGATGGTCGACGACTGACCAAGGTGGAGCCGGAGGGACGATGGAGCCCGGTGGAGCTGATGGACTGACGGGCCATGGTGGAGACGAGGGAGCTAGGAGCCATGGTGGAGCCGCTGGGTCGCAGGACCGAGGTTGAGTCTGGGCCTCAGAGGCTGAAGGTGGAGTCGAGGGATCCTCCAGACTCGACGCCAATGGAGCTGGAGATAGGCAGACCAGCGGCAAGCCCACGCCACAGATGGTGAGCAGAGAGGCTGACGGGATCCAGTGGAGAGGGTGTTGAGGAAGGGAACAGGTCAATGAGAGGAGGAGGGACAGGGAGGTTGGGTGGGATATTTTCCCAGGTAAACAGGTCGGGTGAAAGCTGAAGGACGGGTATCTCGGAGTGCAAGTCTATTAAATCTCCCAGGTCCAGTTTGTGCTCACCCCCAGCGATGGCGCCATGTGCGGGGCTTTCCATTGCCGCCGCGATCTCCACAGCTGTATCCACCGTCGCTTGTGCTGTCGGCTCTCGCACCTGGTCAGACATTTGGGGCTCAGGCTCCAGGGCGATCGTCAGCTCTGTCGCTCCTGATGGTGATGGCTCAATGACTGTGGCAGGCTCTGGCTCTCAGTCTGTGGTGGGCCCGGGCAGCTCCGTGCCGCGAGGTGGTCCTTGACTGGGCTCTGGGTCCCCAGTGGGGCTGGTGTCGTTGTCCGCGGTCAGAAGAGACTTGCAGGATACCAGCACCCACTCGATGAAGGTGGCGATGCTCTCTCTGGGACCATCTCTGGACAAGGCAGTTGTCCGGGTAGTGTGTGAGGTTAGTGAGGAACACAAAGTCTGTGGTTTAACATCCCCCATAAATGTGAAAGAATTGTTTGGATTGTTCCAAGACTTTTTAACTCCCCGTAAATCATATATAAAAATGATAAAAGTGATTAGTTTTTAAAAATAATTTTAAAGAGATTGCAGTCAGTGTCTACATAATGAAGCATTTTAGAGTTGAGTATAACTACAAGATTTATATACACTATAACTCATATTGTGAGTATCATATTTTCAGTTATATTTGTCATTTTTATAATATTTTTAAATGTCTATAAAGCTTTTATTATTATTATTTTTTTTTCAGTTTGTTATTTTAGTATGTCAGGTTCAACTAAATTAAAATAAAATATAAAATGAAATACAAATTTTTTTATATTTTATTTTATTTTGGTTATTTATTATATTAACAGATTTTTAAAATGGTTGTAGTTTTAGTTTAAGGGTCATTCCTGGGATTCTGTAACATTTCAACTTGGAATAATTTTTTTTTCCCAGCTATATATGATTTATTTTCTAAATACACCACGTCATTAGGCACATATCAAACCTCCAACAAATTTCAGGCATTAAATACCTTTTATTGTTTTTAGTTTTCTTCAGATTTAGACACCTCTTATTCTCAACCCCGTAATGTACAAAATGGGAATTGTTTAAAAAGGATTTTACACAGAACTTGTTATAAAACAAACATCTACCTACTGCTCATTTGTCCCTCATAACAATTTAATGATAACAAATGTAACATTTATCATAATTTTCACATGTTATGGGACTGAAGTTAATAATAGTCAAATTGTTTGTTTATGGTTTCTTTATTTTTGTAAAAAAAAAAATGTTTAATTTAGATGTTTAACTAAAACCACAATTTTTGTTTTAGTCCTTAACATGTCAGATGTCAGCAAGAAATGCTTTCATCCTTAATTGTCTTCCCTATTTTTCTCTCTCATATTCTCCCCCATCTTTCTGGGTCAACATGTCTGCATGCCCAACACTGTCTTTCTGCTGCTAATGCAGGTGCAGTTTCTGATGGAGCATGCTTGTTAAAGTTTAACTGGACACATTACATAAAATATTCTATTTATAACAAAAATGTGAAGTTTGGTAAGTGTATATTTACCGATAACCATGACTATTTTTATATGTTTTTATTAAAATGATTGATAAATGAAGTAAATAACTCAACCCTGTCACAAGTTTACATATATATATATATATTTTTTTTGTGACAGGGTTGATTGTGGTGGGGTTGTGTTCTTTTGCTCAAAATGGCCACTGCTCCTCATGTAGTGTAGGAGAATAGACCATATATGGCAGCAATAAAATAAGTACATTGTATATACTTATGGATTAAAACAAAATGTTGAAAAATAATACTTTTCCATCTTAATATAATGTGATGGGGTTGAGTTGTTAAGCTTGACAGTACTCTCCCTGACTATAATAAACCCCAAAAATATGAATTAAAAGTATGATATTACTTACCATTTTCTGCACCCCTATTAAAGAGACCTGAATGATGTCATTTCTGGTAAATGATGTCACATATGGGCGGAGTCTAAATTTTGGGTGTTAGAATGGTTATTTTCAATATCATCACACCAAACATTTTAGAGAACTTTTGAGCTTTTCCACAAAAAATGAAGTTGGCTTATATTAAGTTATTGTTGGTCTTGTTTTGGGAATCATTGTAATGATATGTAATGTCTAATTGTTGATTTATTCGAGCTGAATATGAGAAATGTGATCACAAGTGGGCAGATTCTATCCTCAATGACATCACTGAGAAAACACCCCAATTATGAGGGTGTCGTTTAAACCTGCAGGGGGCGATGTTTTACAAGCACATCAGACACTCCACTCATCACAGCATCACAGCGCTCTCCTTCCAGCTCTAAGTGAGACTCGACTACACGTAAGTGTAACTCTTCTATTCATTGTTGTCCATTAACGTCTTCATTCTTGTCACCAGTGTTGCCATGCCTGCCATTCATCCATGCCTTTTCCAATCATTTTAGCCCCTAAAACAGTGTCCAGCTAAAACATCTGCTATCTCCCCTTTTGTGTTAGAATAGTAAAGTGTTGTATCTGCCTCCCCTGTTCCCTCCCACTCACTCAGAGACCTGTACACCATCCACACATTTGCTCTCAATTCAGCAGTCCAGAGAGCGATGCTGTTTCTATGACAACTGGTTCTGCAGGACAAACTGCAGAGAGGATTTTCCTTTCAAAGGGGGTTCCAAGGAGAAGGCACATGCTTAGCATGAAATTCAGCCCTCTGAAATCCTTTTAGTTGTTTATGATCTCATTTTAAAGTAGGGAAAATGAGCATCAGTCATCTGTTAAATGTACAAGAGGGTTGGCGGTTTGTGAACACTCTGCTGGTGTTAAACGTATCAGAGGTAAAACATTCATAAAGCTGTGGAAATCATCATATTATGCATTTTATACAAATCTGTATTCTCTGTAAAATCTGTAAAATCTGTAAAAGCCCCGATTCAGGTATCAGATTGTATCATTGAATGCAATATTTTATTGAGTTATGAACTTGATGTTTACTGTACACTTTTAATTAACTAGTGATAGACTAATATATCATCCAGGCTGACTAATCAGTCAGTGTTTCATCTTTTTTGAATTAATGGCATAAGCAGCTAACAGCTGCTGAATGAACAGAATTCATATAAATACAAATTTTTTCAGTTTTTTATTTAGTGAATTGAGTAAATATGTGAAATGAGTTTAAATATATGTATTTTATTATAAATTAGCTACTTATTTAAACATGGAATAATGCTGAAATGTTATATATATAATTGTCTTATTTGCTGTTATAAAATAGTCATTTATAATTTTTTTGTTTG